CCTTCACTGCTTTATTTTGTTTCTAAAAAGTAATATCAAGTAAAATAAATAAATAAATTCTGGCATCTTGGGACAAATTATCACCACACCAATGACGAATTGAATGTCATTGTCAAGCAATACAGTTTAAATTTGCATTAAAATACATGTATGTGCTAACATGAAAGTCTTACAGTCTTAATACAGACTAAGTTTGAACATGATTTTACCGAATTTTTGTGACGTCCGAAATTTGACGGTTTTTGTTCAATTTCGCCATATTTTCGGACCGCCAAAATTTCGGTCGTCGCAAATTAGGCCGCCATAAATATGTCTTGTAAGGTAAGAGCCAATCGAATCAAGAAAAGATTGTTATATTAATGAAACAGTTAAATACCTGAATCATAATCACCTTAATTCGCGGCGAGCCTTTTAAAAATTTAACCAATACTAAAAGATTACAAAATATAAATCCATCGAATCGTATCTAAGATATTGAAATGCTTTCAATCATATTTTTAAAAGTCTTTAGTCCCTAAATCAGCCGGTCTTATTTATGGATACTGGATAGCTTTATATATTTACGATCATGCTTTGAAGTTTAAGTTCATATATATGGATACTGGATAGCTTTATATATTTACGATCATGCTTTGAAATTAAAGTTCATATTCAATAAGCGAAGCATTAAATCCCGATAAAACACTGTTAAAGAGGTGTTTTATACCGTACAACCATTCTAGTCCATAACAAGTTTAGATGTTCATGTTCAAAGCACAAGTGGAGACAACGAGAATGGAGAACAAAGCTAATTTCGCAGACTAATTTCGTAATCAGTATCGTGGGAAAATAGATTTAGTTAAAGATATTATTATTCAAGAGCTATTAATTGTGTGGGTTATACTACATGGGTGAATTCTACATTATTACTAAATAAACGTTCTAAACAAGGGATAGATAAAAAACAACGCCCAAGTATAATCTTTCCCTAAAACAAATAACTAAATGTGAAAAAATGATTGTAATTTCTGCCAATATCTCTTATCGTAAGCAAAATTACGGAGATAATACACATCAAAAATATTATTCATATAAAGTCCAGTGTATTGATGGCAAAAATATTAATACGGGAAGAAAACGCTGGTCCATCAACACGACCACGCAAAACATGTCCTAACAATTCTTCGCCGACTACGTGCCACTTTTCTGACAATGGTTCAGTATTGCAGCGTTTATACAAGTTTTTGTCGGAGATGACTCCCGGGTAGTGGGTACTAGTACTACTTTGTATTCAAAACAGAGCGAAGATGTCTGCGGTGAACAACATCTAGTTTTCTGGGGACTACCCAGCAGGATGATCTTGTACATAAGAACTGATACGATTAAAGTATTCTACAGTTGACAGTATTAGACGTTTGTCATTTGTTTAGAGGCAGTTTATCACTCCAGGCTTTCTTGTAAGCTTGTACTTGTAGTTGTTGAAAGCAGCATAGCTCAGGTTAACGCGAAGCTGAATATCAGCTTTGCTACACAAGACGGACCCTAGAGTGATACTTTTCCTCCATGCTCCATTCAACAGATTTTCTGTATAATTAGGTAATTTGGCAGTGCAGTACACCTCAAGATTGCCTATCAGACGTCTTGAACCGCTGTCCATTTTTATTTAAATCTTTTTATAAATTAACCCTTGTTAACTCCGCACGGGGGGGGGGGGGGGGGGGGGGGGGGGGGGTTGGGGGTTACCAATGGCATAATGGAGAATTGGCCAATAAAAATTTCCATTTATGCCATAAAAATGTATGCCATTTGATGAATTTTATGCCATTTTTCTCCATTCTATGACATTGGTACCCCCCCCCCCCCCCCCCCCCCCCCCCCCCCCCCCCCCCCCCCCCCCCCTCCGCACCACACCCGCCTATTATATTTGAAAACACGCATTATAACATTGTCGTATGAAAGTATGAACTCTCTCTGCAGTCCAAATAGACCGCAATAAGTCCAATCCCCCCTAATAAGCTTATAGTATTATCTTGTGGCTAACCTAATTATGATTCATGTACCAACACTACATATTATGCAGTAATGGGAGGGAGAAAAAGAGAACCATTTTATGTCAAATTTGTGGTACAAAACCATCAATTAAACCACTTACCACCGACCAATTTGAAAAATCTTATAATTCATTTGGCTTCGTCAGAGTTTTGTCAAAACTATACCGAAAAAACCAGTCCCGTAACTCTTACCGTTTTATTGATTAAGCCGCTCGGAAATTACACACACACACACAGACAAACACACAGGCAAACACACACATAAACACACACACACACACACAGACAAACACACACACACAGACAAACACACACACACACACACACACACACACACACACACACACACACACACACACACACACACACACACACACACACACACACACAGATTATTGTTTAAGATAACTACAATTTAATATTCACGTTGCCATGGAAAAATGTTCTGTTGTTAGGCTAATCTTATATTATTAGTAATCTAGCTGATTGTAGAACTTAATGAAGTTTATTAATAACGCTGATAAACTTAAGCTCGTGGTTATTGAGTTATTGACTATATTGAGCTTGTATAATGTACACGCGTCAAGTTAACCAAAATGATATTACCCTAGCTAGTGCACCATGTTCCATGTGTACACTATTCTTCTTAAGGCTGTGGAGTGAGCACGAGTTAATTGTTATGACACGTGCACACTCCACAGTAAGATGTGATTATTGTCCCAGCTGTGTACAACTTAACTCAGGTGAGGTACGTTGAAGAACACGTCATGATCTTAGGAGAATTAGGCCTAGGGCGCATGGCTTGAACCTTGAATCTGAAGCTTGAATCTGAAGCTTGAATCTGAAGCTTGAATCCGAAGCTGGAATCTGAAGCTTGAATCTGAAGCTTGAATCTGAAGCTTGAATCTGAAGCTTGAATCTAAAGCTTGAATCTGAACCTTGAATCTGAACCTTGAATCTGAACCTTGAATCTGAAGCTTGAATCTGAAGCTTGAATCTGAAGCTTGAATCTGAAATTGCAGCTGAAGCTTGCAGCTGAAGCTGAAGCTTGAAGTTGAAGCTGAAGCTTGAAGTTGAAGCTTGAATCTGAAGCTTGCAGCTGAAGCTGAAGCTAATTGAAGTTGAAGCTTGAATCTGAAGCTTGAAGCTAAGGCTTGAACCTGAGGCTTGACTCTGAGGGTGGAGTGATAGAACAGGCCAAAAATAGAGCCTGAGGTGCGGCTAATCCTTGCCGAGTTCGGGATTAAACCCCAACTTGGTGCTGCGATAAAACTCACGCTAAACCCCACATCAGGATTTAATTCTAATCCGCAACTTGAAACTGGGGATTAGCCTCAGGTGTGATTAATCCTCAGCTCAGGTTTTAAGTTGTAATTCTGACATCCATACATGGTCAGGGACCATCCAATATCCATATATGGTTAGGGACAAAAGGATTTCCCAAAAAAGGAATAATCGGCCTTGTTTATGACTATGAGTCAGTTCATAATTGATTGTTGATAATTCTCCGGACACTCATGTCTGTGAGTGTGAGCTGCTTCTTTTGTTGTGGCACCGCGACATGCCAAACTAGGCAAAATCGCGGAGTAAATCTAGAAATAAATCGCGGCGAAAGATAATGTATTTGCAGAGCAAAGTAAGATGTCATATATTCGTTAACTAGCTCGTTAGTCTAGTTAGATTAGCTATAAATATTGAGCAGAGAATGCTTTAAGATCTTCCATAAAGTTCCTCCCAGCTCGCCAGACTTCCTATTTAGTATTTACAGTGAGATAACTATATAAGTATAGATGTCAGTGCAATACCTCTATAGTCATCTACTTTGGTCAAATTCCCTTTTTTTAGAACAGGCACGATGTTTAAGTGCTTCCATTGGTCAGGGACATCACCATTAACTAACCTCACCAGAACGGAACAAATAAACCATGTTTACAATGAGATAACATCACGTGATCGAATCACGTGTTTTTATAACAAAGCTAGAGATTAATGGGTAAGGAGACTGCTTTTCATGTGTGTGGGAGGACGAGTACGTTTAGAAACTTGTTAAGAATGTGTACAGTGTAGTGCGTGATCAGCAATTCCAGAACATGTAAGACTATTGTCCCTGGATCCTTGAGTCTCTCCCGATCGGCAACAATTAACACAACATTCAGCAGCTCAATGTGCAATAATAAATAAAATAATAAACCCTATAAAGGAACCAGGATGTATCACATTCTTTCCAGATTCATAGGTAGCGATCATAGCAGTCAGGCCCCACGTGATCAAATCTATATTAGTACTACTACTAGACGGGATTAAACTACCTGAACATTACCAGAAAACCAACAAAAAATGTTAGGCTCATAATGATCAGGGTATATAATATAATAGCATTGTCCGTGGAGAAAATTGGTTTCCAGGAATCCACTTTCAGTTTTACAAGCATTTCTTAACCCACTCTCACTCGCCTGTTGAGTGCTGAAGTAACCTTGTTGGCCAAGTAACCTTGTTGGCCACTAGACATAAAATGATCCCCTTGTGTTAGTCCTCATCAACTAACACGCCTTGCTACTGCAAGAAGAGACGACGGGTGGGGTGCCTAGTCTGAGCATGGCTTCCACAGCCCCGCCCGCTCTGGGTTGGCTAGCCAGCAAACTGCAGGGATCACTCACTCCATCCCCCCTGTTGTTTCTGGACCCACTAGCAACCTCAGAGTGACCTCCACGTTGGTAGGGGATGGAAACTGCCCCTCATTGTCCGGCAGGCTAAACGTCGTCTGGCTGGATCAGATCAAATACCAGCACATACCTGGCCTCTCTCCACTCCACCTCACTCACACAGGAGCCCGGCAAGCTCTTTTCCGCTACGGACAGTAGAATATCAAAACGACCCAGCCATGGACAAATGGTACCTAAAACCCACAAATGCCAAAACAGTACAATAGCTCGTCAATGAACAGAGAGAACAGCAAAAGGGGTCTACCGAAAAAACGGAACGCGCGGATAAAAACATAAATAGTGAAGAAAGACACTAATTTCTCACCAAACTGATGCGCGCGCGACCAAACAAATCACGTGATCAACACGAGACAACTACCAACAGATAACATAACATTAGCACCCACTCAAGCGATTTGATCTATACATCCACACTCCGTGTAAGACGCAATGAATAACCCCATCTTACACTTAACCCCGCAGTGGAAGCCAGACAGAAGAGATTGAAGTAACCACGATTTCTAGACAGTCACACACGGCTAATTAACTCGACTTAAATCCGCAACCAGTTACACCAATCTCGGTAAAACAAATCGTTCATTTCAATTTATCTCTTATCTCGTTACGTACTATTGCACCAGCGTATATGAAAACTTTCTCAGATAATACACCTTATTATTACTTCGAATTCTTAACAGTCGTTTCGTTTCTTAGTGCCAGCCTATATGATAAACTTCCCCACCGTCTCTAATTTCTCAGTAGTATCATAGCGGACACTTTAGTCGTAGCTAAACGAATATCGCACGACCTTTTCCGTTATAGCCTTTCCAACAGATTGGAACAGCAGTTGTAATTTAAACCTCGATCACTATATACATCATCCACAATGTAAAATTCAAACTTCTAACTACTCAGGTAACATGTTCAACAACAAGAGGAAACGGAACAGTGAGGGCAATAACGCCCCGAAACCCAAACTTACTGCTATTGAAAGGGCGGAAAGGGACAAGCAGACTGAATCGAACTCCGCCGGATCCAGAAAGATAGTGCTATTCTTATTCCATGAAACATACCTAAAATTAGAAAAACCGGATTTCAAGAGAATGAGAGGAATCATTTTAGAAAAAGCGGTTAGTACCCACAAACTTTAGTGAATTTGATTCTTTCAACAAAACTCAACTAAAATCAAGCGTACAACCTTCAAATCTCAAGTTAATAAGAAAGCCATCCCCACTCTCACAAAACCTTTCAGCTCGCCCCCGAAAATCAAGAAATCAAGATAAAGGACACAGTGAATGTTCCGGGTGCTAGATCACTGAAACTAGACTTGATAGACGAGAAATCCGCCAGACTGATGCAGGAGCTCATCACAAAGCTCAACAACCAGTGGAACTTCTTTTCTCCGGCTATAGACATCACTCCACAGATAACGAGAATCAAAATGTACATAAACGGGGATTGTCCGGAAACTTTTCTAAAGGACAAAGCGTCAATTCAAGTACTCCTAAACGGGTCACTCGGTAAGTCCCTCTAAAAACTGAAAATTCAGGATGTCGATTTCAAAATCGTAAACTTCCAAGAATTCAAATACCTCAATAGCTCACACCCTACCTAATACCAAAAAGCTCACACCCTTGTCCATCAGGTAAATTTATGAGTCCCAACGATTTTGGCACTGAACGACCCCCAGTATGGGCAGTTAAAAAGAATGGGAACCCCTTTACTATCCTACATGTAGGCGCTAAAAGGATAGAAAGCGTTGAATTCCGTCTGAAAGCAACACGAGACCCATACCTCTGCTCTCTCCCAGGGGCCAGGATTGAAACGAAGGTTTGTCCCTCACTACCCACTAAAGTTCAGAGAAAATCACTTAAAACGCCCGATTTACCATGTTAACTACAACAAAATTTAAAAATTTAAATAACAAAACACAAACCCAGGTGGACACAGTAACTGAACAAGAACTACAAGAAAAGACGGACCAGGATCTCCAAATATCTGCTGATAAGAAGAACGACGACATCACAACTTCACCCAGATAAAGCGCATAAACCGAAATAAAATAGAGACTGAGCAATGGGGGCAGTAAATCTAAAATATTCCTCCTGTACCAAACTGTTTTGGAATTTGAACTTGTTTTTAAAGGGAATATTCACTTTCTTGAACATAACAATTGAAGATTTTTAAGAAAAATTTTAACTCTTAATTTTTAACCTATGGTATTACTTCTGATTTATACTTCATGACTCCAGAATTCTATCTCACTTGTCCAAAACAACGTGAATGAAACTAAACCGTTGAATCCAAAACTTACAACTTAAGCTTACAAACAAGTACAACTAAAAGAATAAAACCCTACGTCTGTGTCGTCTGCATCTTCTATCAACGATAACAGATAAGCCGACAGCCTCAAAATGAAAACATAAAAAAGTAAAGTCTCACATTTTTCGCAACGAGCCAAAACTCCACCTATCTCTAAACTAAGCAGGAAAAAGTAAACAAGCAGGAACAGAAATCAAAACACTGACTCTTCTAAGAAAAATAATAATAACAACACAACACCATAAAATCTCTTTTTAAAAAATACCCCATCTCTAACGCGCACAACAAGGTAGCGCCGCGCACCTTGACAAATGATCCAAAAATGAAAAACCTCCGCAAGCAATCTCCATCAGAGCAGAAACGCATCTGAGCGCGAAAACCTCCACTCTTGCTCCTTGTTTAGTGACGACAGTCGATTCTCAGTTTGTACCCGACTAAAGCAACTCACAATAGACTGCTACTCCCTCTCTTCCCCGGTAAGTATACGTTATTCCGCTACGGACAGTAGAACTAAATTCGATTTTCCGCTACGGACAGTAGATCAAAATTCGATATTCCGCTACGGACAGTAGACCCAAAACCCCCGAATAAATCCCAAAATGGGAAAACGAACCGCACGTACCGATGCGTATAACTTAAACGGCAAAACCCCTCAGAATAAGAAGAGAGTTTCCCAACGCCAGAATGTCAATCCCTCAACTAAAGAGAAAGGTAAGGAAAGCTACTTTACTAACGTTAAACAAATTAATCTACAAAAGAAAAAAGTCGCTTGCATGAATTACTACCAGGAACTATCACCATACGAAATCATGTTAACACAAGAGCCTTACGCTGTTAAAAACAAAATATGCTTCGTTCCAACTACTCATAAGGCTTTCAGTGCTTACTGCCATGAGAAAACACCAAGAGCCGCCATCCTGCTACCACTAGAACTAAGCAAATTATCATTCATTATGGGGAACTTCTCAAATAGAGACATAATAACTGTCAAATCCAACATCATATCAAAGAAAGGAGTTATATTCACTTCAATTTATATGGCCCTAGAGAAGAACGAACAAAAAATTGAACCATCTACCCTCAATAAATTCAAGGAACTAACCATCTATGCAAAACAGAACAATATCCCCCTCATACTGGGATCTGACTCCAACGGCCACCACACTCTTTGGAATAGCTACAAAGAAACGGAAAGAGGAAGGATCATCAGTAACCTCATCAATGAACTAGATCTAAAAATACAAAACACAGGGAACTCACCCACCTTCGTGAACACTCGAGGTCACAAAAGCAGAATAGACATCACCATGACAAATAACTTCTCAAACAACCTCATAAAAAACTGGAAAGTCCACGAAGAAGTATCGCTATCAGACCACAAACTGATCAGTTTCCAAGTCGATCTAGGAAACAACAAAACCAGCTACAGAAGATGCTACGAGAAAGCAAACTGGAACGACTTCAGAACCAAAGTTGAATCTAAGCTAAAGGAGAATCCCTTCAACTACAAAACAAAACCTGGATCTCTCGATAAAAATATGAATTTCATTAACAACATCCTACAAAAGACACTTGATGAAATCTGCCCCCGGACCAAAATCATCCATAAATCCAAAACACCGTGGAACGATAACCTAGAAAAACTGAAAATTAATACCAAGAAAGCGAAAAACAAAACCCTCCGGAATCCAGAACAACCAAAACTCAGACAAGAACTGACAACTCAAGAAAGAGACTATAGAAGAGAAATCCAAAATGTAGAAAGACAGGGCTGGAGAGACTTCTGCTCAGAGGAGAAGAGCAAGAAAAAGCTTGCTAAATTCCCCAAACCTAAACAAAAGGACTGGGAGATACTCCATACTTTGAAAAAAGAAAACGGAGAATTCACAAAAACGTCAGAGGAAACGCTAGGTTACTTTGCAAATCACCACTTCCCCATATCAAATGAAGATTTACTTAACCCTCTCCAACACCAAGAAAACATCTCAGGAGAAATCATCAATGAATGTGCCTATAAGAAAGCTATCAGCTCTCTACAGCCTAAAAAAGCACCAGGACCCGACAAAATTAGAAACGAGATGATAATCCACTGTAAAGACTTACTGAAAGACCCACTCTTACACATATTCAAACAATGTCTGGAGACTGCTCGCTCCCCAAAAGCCTGGAACAAAAACGGAAGCATTATATTAGCAAAACCATTCAAAGATGATTACTCCAACCCAAGAGCATTCAGAATCATCAGCCTGACATCCAATGTACAAAAACTTCTAGAAAAAATCATTCTTATATATCTAGAAGAAAAAGTGAAAATCGACAAAAGACTGACAAAAAATCAATATGGATTCAGGAAAAGAAAGGGGACCGAAGCTGCCCTTCACAAACTGACTAGACGGATTGAAGATGCGATAGCAAACGGACAATACGCACTCGGAATATTCCTGGATATAGAATCCGCATTCGACAAATTAAAATTCAACTCAATCCGAAATGCGATGCTAAAAATAGAAATCCCCAAAACAATTATAAACTGGATTTACTACATGCTCTCAAACCGAGAAATCACTCTAGAACTACACGGCAGAACAATCAAAAGAAACATCTTCAGAGGTTGTCCTCAAGGAGCCATCCTATCACCCCTCCTCTGGAACCTAACCCTGAACACACTTCTCGAAAGGGACGATCTAAACCCAGACTTCCTGCAAGCATTTGCAGATGACCTAGCGATAATAATAAAAGGTATTGACATATCTCTCACCATGAGAGATATAGCTAAACATTATCTAAAAACAATCAACAGATGGTGTAACGAAAACGGTGTAAAACTCAGCATTCTGAAAACTACCACAATTATATTCTCACCAATCAACAAAAAATACAAATTTGAACCAATAACCCTGGGAAACTCTACTTTCAAAGTGGAAAAAGAGGTAAAATACCTGGGAGTCACACTGGACAAACACCTCAGATGGAATGTTCACATAAAACAAAAAACCAATGCAGCAATGAAACTTCTAATGGCCTGCAAATCTTACATCGGTAAAACATGGGGAGTATCCCCCCCTAGAATGAGATGGATCTATAACCAAGTTATCCTCCCCACACTAGGATACGCTTGCTTCCTCTGGATCCACCGAATGAAGAATGTAAATCAACTGCTGCACATGCTAGAAAAAGTACAAAAATTTGCAACACTTCAAATAACGGGAGGTTTCTCCACCACTCCGAAAATTACACTGGACAGCCTAGCAGGCATTATGCCTATTGAAATTAAATTACATAACATCGCAACAAAAACAGCATTAAGATTATACACGAACAAATGCTGGTACCCGGACACCAACCTGGGATGTAAGAAATCCTATATCTCACATGCCAGACAACTTGACAAAGAAATTCAACCTCTGAAATATTATCTGGACAGTCCTCTAAATGAACAGACTCAACCACAAAACATCGTAAGAAGTTTCACCATATCAGAAGAGGAAATCAACGACCCAAAACTATGCGAGCCAGAAGAGAACACGATTCAAATATTCACAGATGGATCAGTCATAGACACTAAAGAAGGAAAACAAGCAGGAGCGGGCATCTACATTCGCAAAGAACAAACTGATCTATTGCATAAACACTGCTCATTAGGCACAATGGCGACCATCAACCAAGCTGAAATGTACGCCATCTGTGAAGCTGCAGCCTTCCTGAAAAATGATACCAGTCAAGCCAACTCAGTAAAGATCTTCACAGATTCCCTGAACTCGATCCAAAGACTAAATAAACTTGATTCAAACTCAAAATTAACAATTGAAACAATAAACAACATAAAAGACCTTCAACTAAAATACAAAGAAGTCACTTTATACAAAGTAAGAGCCCACATAGGAATTATAGGCAATGAAACAGCTGATACATTGGCTAAAAGAGGTGCGGAAAGTAAACCAATAGGACCAGAACCATTCCTATACTTACCAGACTCGATAATAAGACACAAACTAGGAACACAAATGCTGAACAAAAGATCAAAATCGATTCAGGAAAGTAAAATAAAAATAAGTAACAAAATCTTACTCAAAAGCTACCTTAAAGATAAACCACCAAAAATTGCCCACCACATCAAAGCAGACCTAAAAAACATAACAGGTATTATTTCAGGACAAAACCATCTAGCACACCATGAAAATAAGATGGACAGGAACGTAATTCCATTCTGTAAACACTGCCCAGGAACAAGAGAGACCACGGAACACTTCATGGCGGATTGTCCCGCTTACTCCCACATCAGGCAAGAAATCTTCCAATCAACACATATTCCCTTAAACCAAATAATACTAAATTTCAACACGAAAACTATTTGCAAATTCATTAACCGAACAGGGAGAATGGAAGAAGAAAATAAATGTTATCAAAACTAAAAAACCAAAAATTCTCGGCTATGATACCACGTCAATAACTCCCAAAACACTATGCATAAGTACTGCTAGTTCAAGCGCATTAACCATATACAAAGGACCTCAAAAAGCGCGCAACCACTCCAAATGCGTGAGCGCAAAGGACGCGCGCAGCAAAACAACAAACAAAGCACAGTAAATATCGAGAAACACCTAGCGGAGCTGTTAGCCAGATAACAGTGGAAGTGGAAGTTTCTCGCATTAACAAACCCAATTTTCCGGGAGGCTGTTTCAACAGTTGACTTTCTATGGACTCAGAAAGTCCCCCGATGACGGAACATATGGCAGATACTCTTAGGGGTATCGCCGTTCCACCGGGTCATAACAGCAATGTTATGTCTATTTGGTTCGTGCCGGCTCAGCGAGTCCCCATCCCAGCCGAGCTTTCGGTACACCTCCGCAACCAAAAGAGCTCCAAGAGACGTTAGCCACAAGGCGGACGTAGCCTCCCCGCATACCCGGGGAGGTA